ATCGTACAAAATTATTCCATGCATCTTGATAAAATATACCGGGGTTAACTGGCCTGGGAAAAAGTTCCCGATAAGCCGCCAAAACTTCGCCGGGCGATGCATCCCCCAGATATTCCATCATTCCTTCAAATGTGCGGATCTTCTCCACTGGTCTATTGCTTTCGGTCCAAATTGGTTGTCGCAATTCCTGTATTCCCTGAAAACCCAACTTCGGGCGTTCCTCAGTATTCGGTAAAGCCGGTTCTGACTTCCATGCCTAGCTTGATGAATTTCTCCCTTTTTTTGTGGGGGAACCTTTGGTTCGGTTGTCTAACTTGAATTAGGAACACTCTGTCGTTCTCCTTCGTTTAATTTTTCGAGCGCTTCCGCTAGTTGAGACTGCGTCGCAGTATACTGATTGCGCATCTGCCGCAATTCCTCCAGCGTTTGGTTAAGTTGTGCGCGGGATGCTGCCAATTGCGCTTGCGTTTCTTACAATTGATTCTGCGTCTGGGCCTTTGCATTTTCGCGGGGGAGACCTCCTGATAAATATGTGCCATTTGGTTCTGTAATTCCTGGAGTTGTATATTTGCGTTTTGTTGTACACTAAAGTCTTCGCGTTCTAACTGTGCTCGTGCGCAGTCATACTCACAATGTAGCTTTGTAGCTTCCTTTCCTAGTGCTGCCCATTCTGCACTGAATAAATTGTATGTCGTCTCGAAAACTTGTAAAAAGTTTTGATTCCGAGGCATTGTAAAGTTAATAATGGAAGGGCAAAAGGCCTCCCAGTCCATAAAGTCTTCTTGGCCTATTTTTACTTCAAGTGTATCATCGCCTTCTAAAGCCAGAATACTGTCAATGTAGAAACAGTATTGCAGCACGTCCGCTGGTCTTCAAAGAAAATGCCGTTGGGCCAAATTGGCGCACAAAATCTTGGAAAGCCTTGGTGCAAATCCGCCCCTCTAATGGTGTATAGGTCGGATTGGTTGTAGTTATCATTTTCCTTGCTTAAAACTTAATTTTGTATTTTCAGAAACTTACGATTGACAGACTGTGAAAGATTGAAAAGAAAACTCATTTTCCTAAATGTTAAAACCCCCAGCACAAGATTTGTTAACCAAAACAAACAGTAAGACTCGATAATTCTTTTTGCAAGCTAACGAAAAAAAAAAACTAAAGGAAATAAAATGTCTCCCACACATATCTCTTGTTTCAAAATTATGGCTTCCGTTTTTTTTTTGATTTCATTTCATCTTTTGATTCATATCGTTTTTCTTTTTTTTGCGGAGAAAATAAGTTTTCTTAAAATAATAATAAAAAAAATAAAAATGTGGCAATAAGCCCTTGCTCTGATTCGAGCATCTTTATTGCCGGTTAGCCGGCAAAAATTGCCCTCTTTCTTTTTTTTTGTAGCCTAAGCATTACGTTTTCCCCAGAAGAAGTACAAAGAGGAAAAATGATGTATTCCAC